TTTGCTTGACAACTCGTTGCCTATCAAAATACTCTGCGACATATTTGATTGTTTCAACTTAAATATCATCTCTAGAGCACCAACACGAATTTTCGTAAATATAAGAGGGCAAACACAACTTCTTCATGCATAGATTACATAGCGACAAATATTTCTCTTGAGTCTTATAAGGTGGAAATATTTGACCCAATGTTATCAGACCCAGTTATTTTCTGTATGTTTTGAAATAATCAAAACATATTATGTCTAATGACTATAAATTGGGACGTCATATTTAAAATCATATTCAATATGGTGCCACCACTTTGTATGCTGACGATACCACTGTTACTGTGTAGAGTGTTACTGAGAAGGAACTTCACCACAAAACTCAGGTAACGCTTGACGAAATATAGGCGTGGTGTCAAAGAAATAAACTTATTTCAAACCATGGAAAAACGGTATTTATGAATTTTAACCTTAGGAGACCATCAACACCCGGTGTTATTTTTGTTTTATCTGAAACAACTAAATTCCTTGGCACCTTCATAGACAGCAAGTAAACATGGTAACCACACATTGACCACCACTGCAAGCTGCTCAATAAAGCTTATTTTGCCATTTTACAGCTTAAAGACATATATGCCAAACATGGTCTTCTAAGTGTGTACTATACTTCAACTTATTCACATATTCCATTAAATATATTAACCTGGGGACGATCGAGTCATTTACGGCGCGTCTTTGTTGCTCAGAAAAGATTACATGGAACACTGTCATGCTCACTGGTAGACATCAATGTTTCGCCGTAAGATACTTGCCTTAGAGCTCTTCAGTACCAATCTGGATGAAATTATGAGAAAAAACACACATTTCATTCATAAATTAAGATTTTTCCATTTAGTATATAGTGTAGATTCCTTTTGGCTGGGATTCAATCAAATAGGTGAATGAATGTCATCGATGACATAAGTAGATCAAACTCATTCCGTGACAGTGTTCCATGGAAGTGAAATTTTTATTTTCATTCAGTATGTAGTGTAGAAACCCTATATAATTCAGTGTTCATATAAAAGTATTTTTTTCGAAAAAATGTCATCAAAAATCGATCAATCATCTAATTTCCCGCTTTTCACGATTTCTTAAACACCAATCATTATTTTGTCATAAATCCCGTGATATTCTCCGAATGATAGTTATATCACAGAACGGTTAGGTGAGCTAAGATGTTTATAAGAAAATCTAAGTGTTGATGCATCATTCAACATGTTGAATATTTATGTATTCCGTCTGAACAAAAGCAAGTAGTTGATATGTATAGTAATATATTATTATTCAATGATACAGTAATAGCCATTTCTCGCAAATAGAATATTCTTTTCTCTTATATTTATATTACAAAATGATATTCAATTGAAGAGGATATTCCGAATGACAGTAAAATCATTCAATTCCATAACAAAAAGCAACCTGAGAAATATTCAAAAATCACTTTCTGTTTAACCTATTTCATTCAGTTTGAAACATGTTGAGAATTGAGAGGTTGAAAAAATCAAGAAACCTTCGTCTATCAGTAGGTTTTGAAGCCAGATTTTTGATTCTCAAGTTCTACCAATTACACCTCAAAGGAGAGAACACAAGCCCTACAGAAAAATCGTCAAGCCGCTCTAAGAGCGGTGTCTGTGCGAAGGTAGGGATTCACGTAGGATTTGAATCGCTGAAGATTGAATTCATTCGAAAAAACGTTCTCGGGAATTTAATTTCACAACCCAGTTTTTCGAATGAAAGAGTTTTTTAATAGTAAAGTTCGAGGTGTATCGATCTGAACCTTGAAACGATGAGCAGTCATAGTCCGTTGCGTATTTCTGACATGTACTGCTCTCGGTAGAATCAAATGTGCCAAATCACTTGAATACCTCCCTTGGAGAAGAGTGACAAATCTCTAACCTTTTTTCGATGTTCCAAACTATCAAGGTTGCAAGTGATTTTTTTGTCTCTAATGGCATTTTTCTGAATGGAATCCAGCAACGTCATGGTATGCTTAGGGGCGGAGCTCCATTTATGAAGACAATAATCCAAAGAAGGTCTGAGTTTTATAAAGCATCAAAAGCAGCCAGCCAGCACATGATTGTACCATGACATATTGCTATCCATTTTAACCCAAACAAACTTATTGAAGCAGAAAACGGAATTGTCTCTTCTGATATTATTAAATCCGATTCGGACACATTTATCTTTTTGGAAAATATCGATGCCTGGGTTTTCGTGCCATTGAATCCGGTTACATTCATCCCAATTCGAAGTCACCTATAGATTCACATTAAGATATGCAACCTACTGCTGCCGGTAAAAATGTGCATCTGCAGTCGATGTCCTGCAATCCAAATGGAATGATGAAACAAGTATGCTATATTAGTATCAGAAAAGTCAAGATTGATTTTTTCATGACTAAAAATTTGTACGATCTAAATAATTTCATCTTCTCTTAGCATTTCTAAAATTACATCCAGATCAATGGAAATCTGATGGAGATTTATAATACATGCCTAACAATTGCCAAAAAATTTACGCGAAATAACTTATCGAACACTCAAAAGTCCTTTCTTAAAAATCAATTTATTCAGTACAACAATAATTATATTAGTAGTCAAAGATACGTCTTTACAGTGAGAAAGTTTTATTATGAATGCTGGCCATCTCCCAGGAATCTTCGCAAGTCAGATTATATCCAGTTGTACGCTTTCGTATACTCCGCATTCAACTCCTGAGGGTAAGCGAGAAAGTTGAACAGCAGAAAGTTCTATGTCTCCTCTCTGGCCTTGACTGACTTGTCGATGGATAAACCATGGCAACATCAGCGTTTTGTAACAGATGTAAAGTAATACAGTTAACAAAACTAGGTAAATGACTATTGTCCACAAACTAGGGGTATGTGAAATTCTTCCGAATGACACATCTGGTTGATTGTTAAAAATTTGGGTTTTGTTTTGGATTTTGAGGCTTGAATTCAAGTGTGGAATAGATTTGACTAGGCTCAGATCAGGTAGTGAGATTGGTTGTTTTGGGAATGTAGAAATTCTATCGTTGGCGAATATTTCCTTCCGGCAGATTATTTGACAACCTACTGGAATTCCTATTGAGTATGTTCCGGTAAGTTCTAGAACTAAGTTCTAGACTAGAACATTGAATTTATTTATCGAAACGATGGTTAGTTAGACTGTTTTGCTATTTGAGACTGTTACTCAATCTACTTTGGTTTTCTTGATGTTCTCTGATCAAACTTTCGTATTTTTCGCCATCATCGGAATCAAGATTTCCATTGATGAGACCTAGTTTTTTTTGTTGAGGATGGGGTATGATTTCTTTCAATTTACTTTCTACTTTTTCTTCGGTAAATGTCAGAATTTCCAAGTTATTTGAGGTATCATGAAGATCATCTATATTCTTTGCAATAGTACTCGTTATCACATTTGATTGTAACGGAAGCTTATTAATTTCGGTGATAATCGTGGGTGTATTCTTCGATTTTAGCAGTTCCTAGTTTCAGTGGGATAAAGCCTGGATTATTTTCCAAATTTCTCACAGTAATTTTTCCATGAAGTCCGTAAACAATGGAAAATCTGAAATAATATATTTGTTGAGATTAAAATTTATTTGTTTCCTTACGTTTCCATATGAACCTTTTCTTGGGAGTTTGTTGAAACTGTTTTGGATTGATTATAAACCGTTTTGACTTGGTAAACTTACTAGCTTTTTTCAACTTTGATATTTTTTGTCAAAATAGTTTGATTCAGTAGAAAAATCGCAGGGTTGTCATGACTTTTATTAACTCTCTCGATAGTTTTTCCATTATTTCGAACAAGATTTCTTTTGATTTTGGAATAATGGATTTTTTTTTCTCTTTATGTCTATTCATATAGTATTTGAGCAGGATTTTATCAATATCAACGCTGAAGGGATTTTCGTTATCGATATGACTATCGATAACGAAGGTTTGATTTTCCAAAATCATCAAAATCATTGAAATCTTTTTATTCTATAAATTTTCGATTGAGTTTTTCTGCTGTAATAGGTTCTGAAAAATTCAATATTATGAACGCTGTTGTATTGTTTGGAATTGTGGATGCTTTGCAGTTTCTTGCCAACGTTATCATGATCTGTTCATGAGCTGATTTCTGAAAGACAGTAGAATCTATGAAGGGGTCATTTCTGATAACATTTGGAAAAAATTTGAATTTATGTTTGGTTTTTCACTCTTGGCAGGTTTTGACAATTTCCATCAAAATGCAGGTTTTGCTAAAAAATTTGAATCTGCTGACCATCGCAATGATCGTTATTAACTATTTCTTCGTGACCTTGACGTTGAGCAAAGTCACGAAGTCACTTAGTTTGGAAAAGTTTTGTTTTTGTTGCTGATCATTACCAAAAACTTGTGAATTGGTGAAGAACTTTTGTGGCGGTTGGTTATTTGGCTTCAATTGAATGAGAATTGGTTGTGATGGGAAGTTGTGCCCGGAAATGGTTATTTTGAGAATGATTATCAGAAGGTTGTTTTAGCATGTGATTAAAATATATTTGTTATTGAACAGGTTGAGTTTGTTGTTGTGAGGAAGTTCTAATGTTCACAGGAGTTGCTCTGGTCAGAGTTCTGCTAGAATATTTTTGATAATAATGAATATTATTTTCTTGAGTGACTAATTGTGATGCTTCATTGAGTGATTTCAGTCTCATACAACGGATAATAATACCTAATAGTTCTTCAAACCCTGAAAAGAATATTTTTAGAGTTGGGTTGTTGTGAAATGTACTTTTTAAAAACTGTTTTGATTGTTCCGTAGTTTCAGCATGGACAAACATATTTCAAACTGAATTCCATGACAGATAGATATCACTCCTAAATTATATTTCAAACACATCGGAATGTTTTATCAAAAAATGTTATCATTGTGCCTTAGTGAGGAATGAAGCTATTTCAACTAAGTGACTCGTCTCATCATACTGACATATTCAATTTGTTCTAGGTCTATTCCAGAGTGAATGAAACTGAACTACGTTCCAAGAGAGCAACCAAAAACCCAGGATTCTTCAGAACCCTCTTCTCCGTCATTTACGAAGTAGCTATTTGCTATTCTGACTTGGATATGATTCATGACTTACAGAAATCTATGAAATTTTTTTGAGCATTCTCATTTTTCCGAAAGGATTTCTATGATATGCTATATTTTTGATTGCTGAAAATAATCATTTCCTTCAGTTTCATGCTATCAATGCATATCACAGGAATTATTTTAATTAGTTTCGATTATTTCAGCGTCGATAGTTATCTTTATCAGAGGCGTATATGAAGGGTTGTCCAAACTCTGTTTTCGTCAAAATATTGATAAATACTAACTGCATTTCAGAAAAATCATTGAACAATTCTCATCAGTTGTTAGGAACGAACTAATTCATTTGTGAATAAAAAACGTAATTCGTGTCATTGCTTTTAGAGTTTGAAAGCAATGACACTGAAAACCTCAGCCGTGAAAGTCTCAACCATTTTGTCAAAAAACGTAATGAAAACAAATTGAAATTCATAGTGTTATAAGGAGAAAAAATCATTTTGGGCTTCCACCTAAACAGAATATGTACCTTCTCAACAATCACTGATTTGAAATGAGATTGATCCAATAACAGTATTTCGATTTATTCAAAATTACTACTACTACATTTTACAATATATTGAATTCAAATAACCATGTTCAGTACATTTCTATAGAATCTTCAACGTAGGAATTTGAATCAGATTATCATATGGAAAATGGTTTTAGAGCGATTACCTAGTATCACATTTTCTGTACACTTGTTGACAAATCAATTTTGTTTTTTTTTTTCTTTTAAAACAAAGTGAATATTGAGATCGAATAAAAAATTTTCAGAGTACGAGAGTTAAACTGTATGTTGGAGTTACAATCATACAAGTGTACTGAAAGATGTGATATTTCACGAAAGTGAAGATTATATCATTGATTTTCAGCAATGGAATGACACTAAAAACACGTTTGGAACTGTGAATCAATTAATAAACGATAACTTTTTACCTGAAAATGAACCGGTGAGTATTCATCCAATTCACAAATAAAACTGAAATGCAAAAACATACTGACATTTGTTGATTGTTTTCCAAAACGTCAACCACTAAAAAAGCTTGGTATAGAAATTTTATTTTTCCATTATATTTTTGCATTCTGCAGGAATTTTTTTTGAAAACGATAGGTTACTTACTTCAGTGGTTTATATCACATAGTAACTTTTCGTGGTAACTTTTTCAGTTTGCAATAAATTTATGTAGCCGTTACTACGTTGTAGGAAATCATAATGAAGAGAAGAGAATTGAAAATTTCTATGTTTTTACCACTTTTTTTGTAACTAACGTTGCTGCAGATTTGTTCTATAAGGACGTTCTCAAACGTATTTGAAAATGTATAAGTTTGAAAATGTCCTAATAGGGCGAAACTGTAGTTACGTTAGTTACAAATAATGAAAGTGGTAAAAAACATAGAAAGTTTCAATTCTCTTTTCTTCATTTTCAGTTTGCACTTCATTACATTTCAACAGATTGTCTATTGACTACGTCTGTAAGAATTGATCTCGAAAGAATCGACGCTATTGTAAAACTTTTCTTTGGAAGTAGGTTTCTCTTGAGTATTTTTTGAGCAGAGTGAATATCTTCCATTTGATTCAACTTCAGAATTTTCGTTATGCTCACTGAAAAAAATTTTGCTTTCTGTCTGAAAACTCCATTTTTTTCTAACAAATAATGTAGTTTCCCAGTTTTTACAGACTGTGAAATTTCTTTTTGTTGTGACACGATTGTTGCCTTATTTCTATCTAAAACAATTCACATCACGTTTTCAGCAGCAAAATTCATCGATAGTGAGTTTTGATTCAAATTAGGTACAAGAGAAGATCAATCTGAGTTGTCTTAAATCCGACGTTTTCTTTTGACAATGGGATATTCACGTCTGCATATTCCGTGGATTCGAGAACAACTTCTAAACTGAATAAATATTCATTTTCAACTTCTATAGCCACTTCAACTATAGGTTATTGTATTGTGAATGTTGTAAATTTATCAATATGATCTGGTGACCTGAAATCCATTCGCCAGGAATGATTTTTTTCCATTCATTGATGGAGTTTGATTTGTTGCACTAAAAGCTTTCATCTGTAATGTTTGATTCCCTTCCTTCGCAGTATCTCAATCCTCAAATAATGAGAAATATTTGCCAATATGGCCAATTTGCAAATATCTGTTACATCTGACATTTTGATATGGCTTCTACGATTTAAATTTCTCTTTGTGGTTCGGATCGTCTTTGAAATTCCGAACCTTCTCTCTGAGTAGCTTAGTCTGATAAAATTGCTTAAAAAAAATCATATTTTGACAGAGCCCAGACGTTTGAATCGTTTTATACTTCATATTATTTGATATCCATTCTTCTTCCCTCTTTCAATAATTTGTATTTCACTTGATTTACGCTCAAATCTACTTCGACTGCTCTTAGATGTCTGGCAAATCATGTTTGAACTTTTTCAGTGAATTCAAAGCCGGTATGTTTAACTTTGTGAAATATTCACGAAGTATACGAGAGGTATCGTATTTGATGAATATTTGTTTCCTTCTACAGCTTCGCTGGAAAACTGAGAAAATAAATTGATATTATATACACTCAACGCTGGCAGCGTCTCCTCATAACAAATTCCCTTCAATACTACAACGAACATTGGATCATATAAGAAAAATATTTTCTTGAGTTTTCTCGTAATGTTGCGTATGCAACATTACGATAAACAGTTAATTCAGCATCCAAACCTCGTGATATTGAAAAAGAGATCTATCACAGACCGTTTTCGGTAAATATCCGAATATTTTCATCACAAATATTCATTTTCAGAACACGTATGTGATTTTTTTTCCTACACAGGCATCAGACTCACTTTATTACAATTGAAAAGTTGTTGAAAAGAGTGACTCCATCAAAAATACCAATGTTGGAGGCCGCTTAACCTCTAATAAATAGACGTTTTGTTCAAACAATGGTACAATAATTTGCCTGCGAATTTCTGAAGATTTTAGAAAATATTGAGAGGGGGAAATGTATGAACACAGATAGTATATTGAAATTGGGAGTGAATGTTAATGTTGATAATCGAATCTTCAACAAACGTCACAGTTCACCAAAACAAAAGATAAGCACAAATCGTCGAAAGATTTGTAGAAGGATAGAATATAAACTACGACTGAGTAGGTAACTGAACTTGGGGAAAATATCAATAGAGAAACATTTCGGGATATGCAATAAAAATAATATCACAAAAGATCACTGAATTCATATGCTGCGTTTATCGTAAATCAAGCGATATACAATATAGGGCTCTATTCTCTCCACTTGCAAACACCATTGACTTTCTCCAAATCAATCATCGGTAACTTCAATGTTCACAATATCGAATGGCTCAAATTTTCAAATATCAACGATGAACAAGATCCCGAGAAAGTTTTGCAATAAGCTGCGGACTCATAGTATGAATGAGCCAACAAGGATTCCTGACCGTGATGGAGAATATGCTAGTCTTTTGGATTCATATCTAACAAGCAATCCAGAGATTTACACAGTCACCGTAAGGTCTCCATAGGGATCTGCTGACCACAAACTCACTTCAGTGTTGAGTGAATTACCGAATTACCGGGAAACAATCTGAGCTGCGGAAAGTATGGCATTACAGATCAGCTGAACGGGAGAATCTTCAGGACCATTTCAGAAATTTTCCTTCGCTAGATATTTGTTACAGCTCTGAAGATCTATGTATTTATGCTTCTGAAGTAACGGAACTTCTTATCAACCATCGATGTATATATTCCTTCCTCAATGAAACGAACGTCTAACGGCAAACATTGGTTCAACAAAAATTGCTAGCAAGCTGTCACCTCTAAAATTCTTGCCTATCGGCAGTGGCGCAAAAATCCCTGTGCCAAAAACCGATCTAGGTTTGTTGATAATCGCAACAGCTGCAAACTTCGAATCACTGAAAGCAAATTACTTCACAATTACGGATAAATTGCTTGTCATTCCCAACGGGTCTAGATTCTGCTGGTCGGTAGCTGAAGCTGTTATTCAAAATTTCACAAAGTCCACAATTCCAGCACTAACACAAGAGAATAATTCGGTTGTTAAAACAGCCATATAAAAAGCAAATGTATTAGCTGAACAGTTTGCGTCCCACTCCACGGGCGATTTTCTGGGAAAGGCACCACCCACTTTTTCCATGCTAGAAGCCACAACGTCTAGTCAGGCGAATTTTGAAACAGCTCAATATCAACAAGGCGTCTTGTCTTGATGGAGTGCCCGTCATCGTACTTAAAAAGTGCGCTAATGAACTCGCACCAGTATTTTGTCCTACAAGAAAAGGGTTTTCCTTGTTGTAGAAAGATTTCTCGCGTTAAACCTATCACCAAAAAGGGCAAGGAGAATCTTCCAGTCGCTTTGCTATCAGTGATATCAAAAATCATGGAGAAAGTCGTAAACCATCATATCCTTAAATATTTGAAAAGCAATAACATCTTGAGCGAGCATCAATATGGTTTTCGAAAACAAAGATCAATTTGCGACCTTTCATTGTATGGCACCCATATGTAGAATAACGCAATCGAGAAACATGGAGAGTCAAGAGCTGTTACGCTGACCGTGTGTGGCATTACGGTTTGCTGACCAAATTTGGATGCTATGGCTTGTCGAATCATTTTTGTGTATGGATCTTCAGCTTCCTGAAAGAATGTTCCCTGCAAGTGACCATCGATTGATATCTCTTGAATACTTTCACCATCAACGCTGGTATTCCTCAGGGATCTATATTGTCTCCAACCCTCTTTGTATTGTATATTAATGACTCATTGGAAAAAACCAAGAATCCAATATATTGCTTTGCTGACGACAGCACACTTGTCTCGTTGTTTCATTTGAATTCCAGGATATCGGCTGCAGATTCACCGGCAGCAGGAGGTTGCATATCTAAATGAGGATCTGGAAGTGATTTCGAATTGGGGTGAAAGTAATCAGGTTCAATTCAATGCCACAAAACCCAGGTATCGGTTTTCTGCAAAATGACAAATGTCTCCGATCCAGATATTACAATGTCAGGTCAGACAATTCAACTTTCCGCTTCGATAAGTTAGTTGGGGGTTGAAATGGACACCAATATGTCTTGGCACAATCATGTTGCTGGAATTGCAAAAGTCCCAGCAACTTTTGATGCTTCATAAAGCTCAGAGGTCAGACCTTCTTTAGAGTATTGTTCTCATGTATGGATATCTGCCCCTAAGTATATCCTGACGCTGCTAGATTCCACCCAGAAAAGAGTCATTCGCCTGATTGGAGTCATGAACATCACTTGCAGCCTTGATATTCTGGAACATCGAAACATCGAAGAAAGGTTGGAGATTTGTCTCTCTTCTATTGATACGTTCACGTGAAGTGTTCAAGTGGCTTGGCACATTTGATTTCACGAAGAGCGGTACATATTAGAAATATGCGACTGATTGTGACTGCTCAGTTTTTTGAGGTTCAACTCAGTACACCTCGAACTTCACTGTTTAACAACTTTTTCATTTGAAAAAATGCACTCAAGTGAAAAAAACCTGAATCCAAATAAATTTGATTTTCAGCGATTCAAATCCAATGTGAATCACTACTGTCCCACAGGCACCGCTTTTAAAACGCCTTAAATATTTTCCTGTAGTGCTGTTGTTTTGTCCTTGAAAAAAACTGCACCACTTTATTTGACTTGTATCAAGAGAACAGAGCATATGAGATGGCATGTGTTGACCGAATATATTAACAGGTCTATACTATTTGACGTTAGAAATGTTGTAAACAATACAAGTTCAGTACGGAAGTGCTGTATTCAGTTTAATACTTAGTACCCAATACTGAAGTTCATGTCAGTAATTATTTGCGGAACAAATTAGAATGACAACAAGAAGCATGCATAAGCAAACATGAAAAAACCAAATCTATGATAGAATGAAACAGAATAATGAAAGGTATGAATGAATATTGAGCTTCAAGTAATAGTTAATCCACATTTATGTTGGCAACGTTGTTATAAATTGTTTGAAGTATTCATTGAATGAGATAACGCTGAATTTTCTATAACGTTGATTATATTTAAAATTTTGAAAGAAGTAATTGTTGAGAATGTGGTGAGGAATAATCATTTTGAACTCGCATAAACAAAAACGATTTAATTTCATTGTATTGAAACTTCTAATATCGTAGTTCTCTATTTCATGATTAACTGAAAATATAGCTTCCTCTTCTGCATAGAATGTTCAATGTCATTTATATAATGATAAAAATGTTGGCGGTGATGGTGATAACATACTATTTTTTATATAGGCTTGAATTGAATCAAGAATTAGGTGCTATATCAGAGAGGTTTCTAGATAGTATGGTTACCAGACAATAAATGTTCTTGTAACTACATTCTTTCCTTAACTGAATTTATGCAATAATAATATCCAAAAAAATATATTAGAAACCATTCTACATAGTCACGTCAACTGGAAAACTGATATGGCACATTTTTCAATTATACCACTATGTTCGTTTCATGAGACCAGAAGGGTTCAGTCAAGTTAGAGCCGATACGACTCGTGGAATGAAGGAACTATTTCGGTATCGTCAGGTTTGAAATTTTCTTCAATATTCAGTTGAAATGATTCAAAAATAGGACATGTAGCCTGAGTTTTCAATCATAAAACTCTTTTTTCGCTTGGAAGTAATATCAAAATGATATAATTCCACAGTCTAGAGTATATGCTGGTAATTGGGGATAATTGAATTTACTTCAGTGTCTGTGAGGAAATGCTTCCTATGACTCGAGAATCAGACCTCTGGACAGAAAGTGGTATTTTATGCAATATGCAATTTTCATGATAAGTTTTTCCAAATATCTTATTGGCCTAACTTTTGTTATATCATTGAACTTTTTTATTTTTCATTCATAAACTATTGTTGTCTTTGATTGAGTTTCCCAGGAATGATTCACAACCTAAACATCATTTCAAACTCTTTCATCATTTAATATATTTTTTAAAAATACAGAGTGTATCTGGATTTATATTGCAAAATTTGTGATGAATTTTAAAGTTTTGAAGTTGATGAGGAGTGAATTTTGAAAAATATTTCGACTTTTGAAATAGTCAGGTATAGTCTATATGAAGTCAATCTGAACAGCTGAATAAAAGACTAATATGAACCGGGTCTGATAAATTCACTAGTTGAGACCATATGAAATATCTCACATGAAAATAATGATTAGACTTCGTATTTACACCACGCCGCCCATGCCATACAAAGAAACTGTCGACGTTCGGTAACTATTTAGTTTTCATGTCATTCGAGTTCACTTCCTATAGACTACATAATTCTCAACCTTTTTGTTCATAGCAAATCATGAATATGCGAAATTTTAGAAAGATTCCCCAAATTTCATCAAGTGGACATTTTTCAAGGTTCAACATGAATAATATCATTGTATAGGTGCTTTGAAGAAATATAATAGTGATAATAATACTAATGGATTCATTGCTCATCAAAAATTATTTGAAAACAAAATTTTACGAAATGAAATTATATATTGTATGTAAAGCAATGACATAATTACTTCTGTTGAATTTCATTTGTGAGTTGATACCATTCATTCTGTTCGACCTAAAAACTATAGTTGAATCTTCTTAAATCTCTTAGAGAACCATATTTTCTCGTTGTGAAAATCTTTTTCCGGTAAAATTTCGCTGTTTTAATTTCACCGGTGAGTCCAACTTGTTCTCTAAAAACAGATCATTTTTACTTAGCTTAGCTCAATTATACAATCCTGAAATGAAATTTAGAAATGTTTAGCTCATCATACCTACTGTAACATTATTACTTGAATACACTGTATATAGTGTTTTTACGGTTTTCAATATATTTTCAGGTTACTGAGACCACTACACCTAACAGTAATCCAAATGTTACCACGACTGAGGCCCCATACAGAATAACAAGGACAGAACTCAATAAAATATTACGTAGAAATTTGAGAGGATTACAGAGATTGTTTCAAATTGAGTTACAGGATGCCCTCAAGGTGAGAGAACGATGAGCATATGTATTCGACACTGAATAAATTCATATGGAAAGATTTTCCTTCGAGTGCTTTCCTTTGATGCTTAGGCTTGAGGCAATTTTTGAATATTCATTCTGTTTCGAATGCAATGTAGGACTAGTGCGTATAACAGTTTGGCTGAAAAGTAGGCTTGCATAAAATAGATACGTTCGAGGGCGATACCATAATTATAGCGGTCATACAATATTTTAACACTAAGTTATCGGAGAAAAAAAAAATTTTCTCATTGCAGTCAGGTAACAAAATTATAAACATGTTTCCTTAAGTTTAGATCAATAAAACTAATGATTTTCAAAAAAGTAAAAGAGAAAATATTTTTTTAAAAGGTCAAATGGGCATTATTTTCAGCACAGGCGGAAAATAAGTGCCTTATGTAATGCTTATCTACTCTAAACAGTTTGTACAGATGAAGTCATCTGCATCACCGGAAACCATGCCGGCATATTCTTCGTGCACCCAAACCTGGCATAAAACACAAGAACGTATATCCAATTTTTCACTCGGCTGACAAAGGTAACAAAATCAGGGATCAATTTTTGTTGTGGATTTTTTTTCTTGACAAGAATTTTGGGATGTCTGAAATGAGTCTTTGATGATGTGTTGCGATTTGTAATTAAGAGCCTTTCTTTTAACTTGCGATTTTTTGGCGGCAACTCGGGGATTTTCAAAACTTCCTCATAGGTTTTTTTCACAACTTGGTCAGGAGAAAAAACGTGTTTTTGGTTGCTTTCGAGTACCAGATGTTACAGGTACTGGACTATCCTGCTGTCGAGGTAGAACTAATGTTTCAGAACGAAAATGTGTGATCGTCAGTTACTTTTGAGTTTTGATGGTTCAGGAACTGGTTCAGTATTTTCAGTAAGAGGTGAATGGTTGTCATCAGAAAGAGAGTCTTCTTCTGCAGGTCTTCTTGAAAGCGTCGATGGTGCAAAGACTTCATCAGCTATAGAATTCGGATCAAATGGAAAAATTCCTGTAGCTTTAAAACCACTTGTTATGTTCGCTACAATCATGGATTTTCTTTGAACTGGTGTAAAGTCATCGAAGAATACATCCTTATGTAAACAACGATCTGGATGCTGATCCCAATATATTAGTAGCTGATCGTCCCAATAATGTTCGAACGATCGAAATACAGCCTTGCCTGAAGGCTGTACTTCGTTGTTTTACTAGGGAGACAGAGTAACTCCACGTTATTTTCTTCGGCCTTGCTTGCTATCGAAATATCTAAATGGCACTTTGCCCCATCAAATTGAAGAAACACCTTTCTAGCTGGTTTATACTTTGAAAAGAGGTCCAACTGCTCACAGAATATGTTAGAGGTCATGCTGCCTTTGTGACTTATTAAAACTTCTGTTCTGATTGGCATATTATCCAAATACGCAGGCTTTTTACAGGATCCTTTAAACAAAATCATTGGTGTATTCAGTTTCCCATTGCTTTAACACAAGCTATAATGGTCACATTTTCGCCATGTTCTTGTGAAACTAGATGCACCCTCTTTGATCCTTTTAATGCAAGGGCAGACTGCTGATGATGTAATGTTAGCCTACAGCCGTTTTCGTCCATGTTGTAAATCCGTTCAGGAGAATATTTTTAATCAAACTTTTATAATGTCGTATCCAAAACTACAAAATTATGTTTTACTATTGGAAGGTATGACTTAGCAGATCTGATGCATTGATTGTGCTTTTCTTTTGCTAATATGTAGGTGGCGTTTGAGAAATGAGGATTACCAGTCTTTGCCAGTCATATTTTGACTGTTTTTCCGTTGAAACATCAATTCGATTTGCTTTAATAAACTTGTAAACACTTCTTCTCAGAGCTTTTAGTGTAAGAGTAAGGCCGATTTGTGATAGATGAATAATTCTGTGTTCTAGTTCGAATTCTTGGTTTTCTGTTAAAATAAGTTGACGTCCTAGTGTCCTACTCACAACACCACTTTTTGAATGATTCCTTAAAGTACGACGAGGAATACCTGTCTGCTGTTCTACAGCTCTTTGAGAATGTCCTTGTCGTAAAAGCCTAAGTGCATCATCCATCATCTCTCTATCCCAGTTGGCACGTAAAATAATACGACTGAAAATAAGGCCCGGGCCTCATTTTCAGACGTAAGATAAATAAGATAATCTGAAGAATAACTGAAATGCAAAACATACTGTGATATTGAATTGCAAGGAATCGGAAACTTACTGAGGTTACTTTTGTGTAGAATATAAATTATTTTTTTTTGTGCACTAGGTTATGTGAAAATTTTAACTTTCCTTGAGCATTTGCTTATGATGAATAATATAAGATACAAGTCCACACAGGGTTACACAAAAAAACACAACGTAAGTGGTTTAGTTCCAGTAGTTGAACGTGTACTGATGCAGTTGACCATATACAGAGTGGTCCAACGAAAAGTATGCACCTTGCTTTTCTCCTTTTTTGTTACTCAACGCAAAAATGCTCAGACAGGTCAATTTTGCTCTGAGGGGGACACATTTTAAATGTGTTTTTCTACCTGTGCCTTCAACCCCCTAGCGAGGGTGAGTAACAACCCTAAAATTTTAAATGAAAAGTGGCATCGAGTGATATATCATTTAACATTACAGACAGATCCGGTATCGACAAACTTTTGGACTAACTTGGCAACGTACGAATCATTCACATTTTTCCCGGGATGACTGTTATTAAAGAGGCGAGCAGTAAGTCTAGCACAACTATTATGTTGATAATGAAGTTTAACAATTTCAACTCGGTCCGGAATGGAATAAACCACTTTTACAGTAAAGTTGAAATAATTTCAAAAGCAACCGAACTGAATCAATGAAGGTTTGCTTAAATTCTTTTTGTTTTTGTACACTTATCTGCTGTTGTTATTTGAACCAAAAAATGCACGAGAGAAATTGAGGAATGTAGTAGTGATAAAAATGCCGTTTTTTCATTAACACCGAGTAAATGTTCTTGCTTTTTTATAACTATTCAAGTAAATACAACAAATTAGGTATCATTGAAGGGAGAATTTTGTGCTCTTTCAAATGATATATCACTCGACCCCACTTTCCATTTAAAATTTTAGGGTTGTTACTCATCCTCGCTAGGGGGTTAAAGGCACATGTAGAAAAATACATCTCAAATGTGTCCCCCTCAAAAGCAAAATTGACCTGTCCGAGCATTTTTGCGTTAAGTTACAAAAAAAAAAGGAGAAAAGCAGGGTGCATACTTTTCGTTGGATCACTCGATATTAGTCGCGCTGCGATGTTGTCATTTCAATGGCGCGAATTTCAACTGTGGGCCTTATTTTCCAATGAGCCTTATAACCCTCCACTACCTTATTTTTATAGTACGATTTGTCTTTAGCATCAATGTAGGTATCCGTTTCGACGATTACCTCAGTTTCGACGATCACCTTTCCATCGGAACTAATTTTTTTCCAGCGAGAATTTTATCAAGGTTTGAGAATTCGAAAAAGTCGCTGGGGGTAGATCTAGGGAACACGGTGTATGCGGAAGCAATTCGAAGCCCAATTCATGCAATTTTGCCATCTCTTTCGTTGATTTGTGACACGGTGCAGTATCTTGATGGAACAGAGTTTTCTTTTTATTTTCAAATGGGGCCGATTTTTCTCGATTTCGTCCTTCAAATGCTCCAATAGGCGGTGTTGATGTTTCCTCCCTTTTAGAGGTCGATGAATATTATACCTTGCGCATACCAAAATACTGATACCATAACCTTGCTAGGGTGTGTTTTACCAAATGATAATTTCAAAATACTAGCAGTAGGGGGATGCAATGAAACACCACTAACAAGTTACCCAACTAGGTCAGTGGTCGTAAGTTCGATTAATAAAAAAAGGTTGTTCTTTATTGCGTTACCAAATTTTGGCCAGAAAAAAAAAGGAAACCGCCTTGATAACTAAGGAACCCACTACTGCAATATCTCGGTAAAACTATAAATAATATTGAATATGTCTTCAATAAAAATATCTGAAACGTTTCAGTTTCAGCACAGGGGAAATATCAAAGTATAGAAAAAAAAACACAATACAAAAAATTCCTGGATATCCTAAGAGAATCTTAAATAAACTGTTTGGTGGTTGAACTCCCGACAGTATAGGCTGAGGAACTATTATTATCAAAACTGATATACTGATGCCCTATTACTCTACCGGATATGATTTGAATAGCAAAGTCAATGCGGAGAGGAACAACGTAAAAATACTATTAACAGTTATGTATCTAGGGGATGCTGATTTGTGAAGTCACTTCAGAGTTCCCGAATAATAATTATATTACTGAGTAATAATCAACTTATACAAATGAATATATTAGCTGTTTCAACACCCTCCATCAGGTGTATTGGGCTTGCTATGAGGGGAGCAGCCAGCTCCGAAGGAGTCCGGAGCGTTATTCAGTCTGTTATGGCTGGGAGCTGATCTTGATTAAAGGACTACTACGCTGGTATCTTATACAGAATGATTGACTATACAGAGGTACAGGAATGGAAGAACGGGTAGAATCGAATGAAGAAAACAAAACCCAAGCCAACGGTCCTATTGACCTTCACAGTCGATTGTTCAACCGGAGAATAACACCCTATCAGTTGAGGGTGTTTTCACTGACAGATGATGATTGAAGGGTCGCAGTGTATAATAATCTAACAAAAAAACGGTTCTGACGGAAGTTGGCAGTGGATATAGTCCAAACAAATGGAATAATCAGGCCGGTGCTTTATAAATCCGGCGAATTGCCGAAAGGATTCCTGAGTTCCAACGGAGATATAAGGGTCAGACAACTACAAAATCACGCCAGAAATCACTAAGTCCGAAAATTTCGAAATCCCAGAATGGATTCAAAAATTGCTGCAAGATAATTCGGATCACACACCACTTCATTCATCAAACTTCACAATCTAGATAAAAGATAACAGGTCGAATAAATTGCCAGAGGTGGCACTCTACTTCTGCTGTCACAAAA